AAATGTAGCTGGGTAATTATGTCATTGGCATCGGTGAGCCACTGTCAATATGTGACATATTGAAGTCGCGTTTGAATTTGCGCTTGTTTGCGAACTGTGGTTTTCATGTGAAGTATGACCCTGAAGGTAAGTGTGTCATGGACTAAAGTAAAACAGTATGTCGGCTGTGCCACGCAATGCTCAGTTACATTGGCGGGAACTACTGCGTTAGCACAGTTAGCTCGTTGCATGTAGATGAGTCTGAGGGTCAGAGGCCGTGGTTCCTGTGCTGATAAAGAGAGAAAATGTCAGAAATGCTCGTGTAGGGTTGGACAGGTAAATCATCAGGAAATGAGGCGTGCTTTTTATTAGCCAGCTGGATGGACAGTGCTCCTGGATTGGCTGACTGGTGTGGGGTTTCCCCTCTTCAAGAAGAGATTGGGCTCCAACTTCAGGGGGATCGTGCTTCTCAGCCTTCTTGATAAGGTCTATGCCAGTTTACTGCAGAGGGGAGTCTGTCGTTCATTCAGATGTCTGATACTGGAGGAACTATGTGGTTTTTCATCCTGGTCCTGGAAAGCTGGACCTGCTTTTTACCTTTTCAATGATATTTTAGGGTACGTCAGAGTTTGTCCAACCAGTCTACATGTTTGTTGTGAACCAGTAGAAGGCATTCGACCACGAGGTTCAGGTCACCCTGTCAGGGTCGCTTCAGGATCATGGGGGGTCTGGCCTGTAGGCCCCTGTACAACTACAGCAAGTGCTTGGTCTGCATTTTTGTGGGTATAGACTCCACCAGGGTGCTGTTTTTCAATGATTCTGTTATTGGACAGAGATTTAAGGTGCAGTCAAGAGGAGGACAGTGTCTGGCTCAGTGACCTCAGGATCTTGTTTCTATGTTTTGCAGATGATGTGGTTTTGTTGGCTTCACTGAGAAACAATCTTCAACATTGGGGCAGTTTGCAGCAAGTGTGACACTGCTGAGAGAGAATCAGCACCTCAGAGTCCAAGTCCAGGGTCCTCATTTGGAAACGGGTCGACTACCCACTTTGGGTCAGGGACAAATTCCCAAGTGGAGGATTTTAAGAATCTCATGATCACTTTCATGAGTAAGCGGAGTGGGGATGGATTGGTGCGACATTGGTGTGATGCAGATTCTGTACCAGTCTATTGTTTCATGTTTTTGGTCCGTGAATTCAGAGCTCTGATACACTGTGCTATAATTCTCTCTCTCCTGTTGGTATTTTACTGTAAATAGGACTTTCTTTCACCATCCACTGTGAAATGCTGCTGTGTTTGAGCCCACCTGGAGTGTTTGTCCTTGTTTTGCCACCTGAGACACAGTATAGAAATGCCCATCACCCTTTAAGACAGGTGATATTTACTGATTGGGTTCTTATTTTTAAATGAACAAAGCTTGGTGTCTTAAACTTCAGATGGCGTGCTCATTTGTGCCCCTGCCCCTACTGTGATGGCACTCCACCCCCCTTTGCTTTGATTAACAGCCTGGTATTACAGGTACTGTGCTGCAGTGGTTTGTATCATATCTATCTAATAGACTCCAGTTTGTGCATGTAAATGGAGAGTCCTCTCCACACACTGAGGTCAATTATGGAGTTCCACAGGGTTCAGTGCTAGGACCAATTCTGTTTACATTATAAATGCTTCCCTTATCATTAGAAGACAGCATACATTTTCACTGCTATGCTGATGACACCCAGCTCTATCTGTCCATGAAGACAGATGTGGCAGAGGTGTGGCCCCTGGCTCAGCTGCAGGGTGGTGCAGTGAGCTCAAGGGGCAGTGCCAGGGTGGTTGGTGGGACAGGTGTGTGGTGTTTCGTTAATGAGCTCTCTCTCTTCCTTCATGATTTAGTGAGGCCGGAGCAGAGTGTTGGCGTGCAGTTGGAAAGCTGCACGCGTGGGTCCCGAACCAAAGTCGAGAAAGAAACCTTCAGTAGTGTGCCCTCATCCACTCTAATCCATCCGTTTTAGGGTGGAGCCTTTAGTTATCAACCCCGAGGCAAAGGCTTAGTCACTAAAGATGTTAAAGAACCATGTGAAGCAAAGCAGATGAGAAACATCCACAACACATTTTTAGTCTCTTAATCGCAAAGAGGAGGTCCACCAAATCATCAAGCACTTGAAGCAGACACTGTAAAATCAACCTGCAACTCCACAGACCTGTACATGAAGCAAACTGGTAACAGCTGTTTTATATTAAAGTTTGTGAATTCATACAAACGCTCCCTTACGCTCACTCAGCACGGAGCATCATGGACCCTAATTTCACGAGAATACATTTGCAGTCTGTCACATGAGTGTAGTGGGAGCCATCCTGAATGCTACCACTCACATTAATGTGGCCTCTTTACAATGTTCACTGGCATTTTTTTAGTGTGCTACTAAAAAACAGGACAGCATCCATGAAATATGTGAAAAATCATTTTATGAAAAATAATTTTGTTTTTCTGCCAACTTTACTGTTGCTCCCTCGTTCTTTCTGTACAAGCTCATTGTCCTCTCTCTCACCATCCTCCTCACTCAAGTTGAATTAGAAATGGTGAAAAATGACAAAAATATAATCGTATAATAATTATAATAAGAGCAAGTGATGGATCAGCAACAGGACACCACACTGCTGTTATTTGAAATCATATTCAGTCAATGTGTTCAAACAGAAGCTTTATCATTTTTGGTGAATGTGACCGCACGTCCACTCTCACCTGTTCCTCTCTGCTGTCTTCATCCTGCTCTCTCCCTCACTGTCCTCCTCTCTCTGTCTCTGTGCCATCACCCAAAAGTTAAATGTTACAGTAAATAAAAGACAAACTGATCCATATCAGTTTATGGCAATGCTCAACCTGAATGCATCCTACTGCTGACATAGACAGGTAGCACCACTTGACCTGCTGTCACCTGGATCTGGAGCTGTGCTGTAAACAAACACTGAAGCCCAATTAAACCAGAACAGGAACAAAAAAGATTTTATTACTAAAATAATAAAGAACATCAGCTGGCAGCTCCTGATATCCCAGCAGACTCGTGGATCAGAAGGTTAAAGGTCGCTTATATTTTTTAATATTCGAGCTATATTAACAAACGTTTCTGACCCTTCCTGAGTCACAGTAATGTCTCCAGATTATCAGAACAGTTTGAACTTCTTCTGTATTCCTGTTAAAGTGTGTTT